CACCATTCGCGCGGCGTTCCGGCACAACACCAAGCTCATCTGGATCGAATCCCCTACAAACCCCACCCTCCGTCTCATCGACATCCCGCGCATCGTTGCCCTCGCGCGCGAGGCACCCTCACAGCCCTTTGTCCTCGTCGACAACACCTTCCTCTCCCCCTTTTACTCGTCCCCGCTTGTCCTCGGGGCAGACATCGTCATGCACTCGCTCACGAAGTACGTGAACGGACACTCAGACGTAGTGATGGGTGCTCTGATCCTCCCCGCACATCACGCGGCACTGGCGGAGAAGCTCCGGTTCCTGCAGAACGCGATTGGCGCGGTTCCGAGTGCATATGACTGCTGGCTTGCACAGCGTGGCGCGAAGACACTGCACCTCCGCATGAAGGCTCACGGATCCAACGCTCTGGCGGTCGCACGCGCGCTCCAGCGGTCGCCGCATGTCGAGGAGGTTATCTACCCCGGGTTGTCAAGCCATCCGCGCAACGACCTTGCGTATCGCTCTCTGTCGTCGCAAGCGCGCACCTTCGTCGACAAGTATTTGAAGGCGAACGGGGACGACGTGGGTGGTTTCCCCTACGGCGGCATGATCTCGTTCCGCATCCGCGGAGGCGCAGATGAGGCTGAGAAGTTCCTCACGGCGACGAGGCTCTTCACCCTCGCGGAATCGCTCGGCGGCGTCGAGAGTTTGGCAGAGCTCCCGGCGAAGATGACGCACGGAAGCATCCCGCCCGCGGAGCGCGCGCTGCTCGGCATCGGCGACAACCTCATCCGCCTGTCCGTCGGAGTCGAGGAGGAGGAGGATCTCGTTGCCGACGTCGAGCAGGCCCTCGATGCTGCTGTCGCATCCTCGGCGTGAGGTTCGAGCTAGCATGAGTTGAGGACGAAGTATCCATACCCATTGTACCGACTAGACGCATATTTATTGTAGATGTAGCTGTTCTCTTGAAATGCCCATACCATAGATGATTATCTAGCTATGTATGGCTTCGAGACTATCCCCACGATGTGGTCTGCCAACAACCATCCGTGCTCGTCTGTGCCGACTTCTAGGCTCTTCTCAACCCATGCCTACGGAACGACAGCTGGTCAACAACCATCTCTCGGACTATCGATGATATGAGATACGTACCTCGAACTCAACTTCCTGCAGTTCGTTCACCAATTTATCCAGGCCCCCCGCGAGTAAACCCTCCGTCCCAATCATCTTCACGCTCTGCGCAGGAACGCCCGTCAACCTCTGCAGGATTCGAGGCATCTCCGCCGGAGTCTCATGGTGCATCGCATGGTACGGCACTGCACTCTCGTCCAGCCGCACATAGTCCCCATCGCGCGCATGCTGAGCATAGAACTCCCGCTTCGCCGCCAACCGTGTCGGGTCAGTCATCGCGAGGGCGCGGTAGTGCGCCCACCGGCTGACGAACGCACAGAAGAGCACACCTCCGCCATCGGCGCGGACCATCGACCATGCGTCCCGGATCGCGGCGTTGCGCAGAGGCTCGGACATGATATGGTAGAGCGGACCAAGGAGGAGGACTGCATCGAACGTTTCGCGCTCGTCGGCGAGCTCCGGGATGGACGAGAGCGCAGTGGCGTCCCCTTGGAGGATGCGTGCGGGGCGGGAGGTCAAGGGAAGGGCCGCGGCGCGGGTGCGCGCTAGGTCGAGGAGCCCGGAGGAGAGGTCGACTAGGGTCACGGTGTGGCCGCGCCCGGCCAACGCGAACGTGTAAGGACCTGGCATGAAGTTCGGCGACTTGTCAAAGTTCACAGCCTTGGGGGTTATTGGAGTTCTTGCACCTACCTGTGGCTCCTCCGATGTCCAAGATCTTCAACCCGGGGCGATCAGGGAGCCGCGCCAGGATAGTTCGCAACATCACTTCGAACTCAACTCTATGTGCACGCAGACGGCCGTCCTCAAGGTCTGGGTTCGTGTTGTACCAGTGAGCAGTAGCGGCATTCAACTGTTTGGGGTTAGAAGTGGACATCGTGCTCACGGAAGTCAAGATCTGTTCCTTGTCGCTGGCAGCATGAACACTCGCAGTAAGTATAAGTATCCAGACTCTAGCTTGCTTGTTCGTCGGGGTCCGTTGCTGAGAGCTCGGCATGTCAAGTCGCTCGGCTTGCCGGATCCGCTTTTGACTCGAGTAGGGCGGTATCGGGGTCTATAGCGGAAATGCCTCCATGTTCTTGGCGTACTACAGCTGATGTACCGCGTTGCTGGAAGATATCAGTACATTCTGATGAACCTTCACTTAGTGCTCAAGCCCCATGTGTTACCTGAGAACAACAAGGCCTGTCAACTATCCCGGTCAAGTCGGAATGACTCACGAGCGTTGCTATTTGTGCGACAGCCTGAGGCACGTCGGACGTTGCGCATCAATATTGTCGAGCGAGCCGGAAGACGGATAGTAAATGAAGCAACGTGGTATGTATCACTGTGCCGGGACACAAGGCCCGCCGAGCCTGTCAACATGTGAATGGTTTGCCAACAAGCCCCTGGCTGTATGCATCTGCGATGAGCTACAGAATTGTCTGGAGTCAGCCACTCCCTCCACTACTGCACAATGAAAGTATATGGCACCTCACCTTGATAGAGACATACGTCCCCACGACACACATGAACGCGCCTGCTAGCACCGTCAGCACGGCAAGCGTGGTGCCAAACCATCGTCTCCTGATAGCGCCCAGACCACCCTTGAGATAGAACGTGTCGTGCAGCCAGAAAAATCCCGCCACGCCGTACGTGTACCACGACGCAAAGAGCGAGGCGGTGATGCCCGTGAGGTACGAGAAGATTGGGACGGCGCTGGCGAGAATGAAGGCGATCGCGACGGACGCGAAGCAGAGAAAGACCCATGTCGACCACCCAAGGACCGTGTGCGAGTGGATGTGGCGGGTTTTCCGGAATAAGCGAACGAAGAGGAGCTTGGCGGCGAAGTGCGTGTAGAGTGCGCCGGTTCTGCATGCAGGGGTGAGTTGGGATCCGGGGAAACATTGGGCTACCATGTGACGCACATGAGGAAGTTCACCATCCCGAAAGCAAAGCTGATTTTGGCCCAGACAGGCGGGAGGGAGAAGAGCGCCGGAGCTGCAACACTGCTTCCGATGTACACGTAGACCACGACGCTGAACACGGCATAGAAGGTGGTGGAAAAGCCTTGCAATACCCAGGCAGCCTAGACTGACTTGGTCAATGTAACAAGCATAACGCGGAGGTATCGCTTGCCTTCATGGCGTCCTGAGGTCGTCGCATCTCGGAGATGAGCACAAAAAACCTTTACAAACATGAGCACAATGTCTGAGGGAGCGACAACGGGACCTACACGAAGTGCCCTATGAAAGAGGAAACTTGACGGTCAGCGAATTTCAAAGCAATGCGGTGATGACCGTTACGAACCTGCATATGCAAAAACCTACGTAGTCACGCCCGACATCAGTTTCCGTACTCAGGTCTGACATTAGACATACCGGACCAGTGATAGCCAGAAAGGCTTCGTAAAAGTTGGACGGCAGGGCGGCCTGGATTATACGATTTGGAACCGGGTTTGCTCCAGCGCCGATCATGGCAAGGACGCCACAGAGAGCGATGGTAACGGCACTAACCAATGCGAGCCAACTCAGACGGCTGAATGTCCGCGGCAACGCAAGGAGGAAGGTAGCAATCGCAAAGATTACAAGTAAGACAGTTGCGCATAGACCGTTGTTGGATAACGTCGACAACGCTTGCTGGCCCGAAAGAATAAGCGCACCCTGGGAGTTGCAGCGTCAGTGAAGAGTTGTGCGCCGCTTGGATTGTTACTCACCACGCCGAAGATGGCGAAGATGATCGAACCTGCGGCGAAAATTTCGCGCCCAACTGGTCCGAAGAGGATGTAACCCGCGTCACCTGAAAGGAATGGTCATTCATAGACGATTATTAATCGTGGAGCGCATACCCATGTTGTGCACTTCCGGGTGATTCATCTTGAAATCCACCAACAGTTTGGCGGTGTACAGTGCAAAGATCCCAAGGAAGATAGTCAGGATTAGCGACGGCACGATGCCTATCATCCAGATGTTGAATGAGTGATCTTCTGCGCATGTGTAAGGTAAGGTCAGGGCTTACCGACAATGGCAACAGCATTGGGCAATGTGAGTAAGCCGGTACTGACGATCTCAGCGATCATTAGGGCGCTGACAAGCTGAGAAAGGTATGCCGTGTGAGTGACGCCTCGATGGTAACATGGAGTCGACTTACCTGCCAGCTCAGAGTCTTGTACTTGATCTCATGTTCTTCTTCGTTGCCGAAGACATCGACGATTGTCTCCGTCTCTACCTTCTCCAGAGAGCCCTCGCCCGCTTCGATGAACGAGGATCTGTTGATATCACCTTCACGGCCGGACATCGCCTGAGCTTAGCAGCAACTGGGCGCGGCCGAATAGCCGCGAGGATTCTGGTGACAGTACTTATAGTAGATCCCGGGTCGGTCCCTGCCTCCGGTTGCTCAGTGGCTCTCGGGATTATGTAGCTTCTGAAGCGCTTGTCGGTGCACTCAGCTTGGAGCCCCAACAACGAGCTGATGGATTTCGAAACACATCCTTCGCTTGTTCCAGAAGTAACTTCCGGCAACCGGGGTGGGTGTTCTTGTTACTACCCTCCAGGCGAGCCTGAGTGTCACGCAGTACCAGTGAGAAGTACTGATCTCGCCAACATTGCTTCGACTCACTGATTCATTCGTGACCTGCGGCTTTGACATGGCATAGATAGGGCATGCTGAGAAACCCGAGCAGGAGAGAGTCTATTGGTGATTGGGTGGCTAAGCGCTCCATTCAAATCTATTTGAGTCTGCTTCTAGTGGCGGCTATGACGAGAGCCTAGAGGGTAACGCTCTCAGAGAGTTAGCGAGTTCGAGTCGGTGGCGCTGGGTGGGGACAAAAATTGCAACGCCAGGGTGGAAGCGATCGTCGAACGGAAGAGCTCACAAGCTGGTGCGTGGGCGCGGAGGTCGAAAAAGAAAACAATGTCCCAGGGAGGATTCGAGCCTCCGCCTTCACGGTCTTGTGAATCCACAACGTGATGATCTAACCACTAATCGACAAGGACCGGAAGTCAAACTGGTCTCTTATATATATGGACTAAAAGCTCAGAGTTGAAACGTGACACCTTCCACGAGCTACCTTGGTTATACTCGAGCATCTCACGTCCCCAGTCAGATGCCGGTTCCAGTTGTCGAGGACGAACAAATGGTTCAACGCCGTGGCTTCCTTCCATGTTCTCCGCGATGTCACCTTACGCAAATTAAAGGATACATCAAGCTACCTCCGGGCGAGAGTTCTCAGACCACTTGGGACTCAGTGGTCTATGTAAACAGGCAGAATACTCTCGTGTTGTTCAATCTGGGTCTCTGTGCGGACCGAATTTGCTGGCTCGTGCTCAGGCGGATGCCTTCGTTCACCGGCATGGAGAGCGGTCCCGGGATGTCGCGGACCTGAAAACCTCGCTGGACTGGATAAACTCGGAAAGCTCTCGTTGGGGTCATCTCGCGGATGCGCAGTCGTCCGTCTGAGATTGTATTATCGCGAACGAACGTGCCGCAGCAATCAGACCCCACGCAAAGACGCTGAAGAGATTGACCATCCACCGGGTGACACTCGAGTCCAAGAATTCTGCCTGGCCTCGTGCGAATCCAACCTTCGATACAGGGAAGTCTTTGATACCTGCCGACGTTATACTTGCAGATACTATGATAGAACTAAACAGAAAAGAACAAACGTCACCAAAATTCTCCGGAATGCTAGTACCATCCGCACAAGATGAGATCCAAAACTTAAGGAGTTAGTATCGTCCGTCCTTCAGCATTCTCCCGCTTAAGCATGAGTATCCACCTTCCGGAAGAATGACCCTCCAAATTCCAATGCACCGCACTGCACGCCGCCCTCCATAACCTGACCTAGCACGCGCTCCTCCACGACCGTCCACCGCCCTCCCGGCCACCTCCTCGCCAACGCCGTAACCCGGACCCTCGCTCGGAAGCTCTCATGCGCATATCCCGGCTCGTGCCCGCCCCGCAGCGGGGCGGCCATCTCCATGAAGGTATCTGGAGGGGCTTCAATCGCCAGCTCGAGCTTCCGCCTCCAGCTGGACACGCACAGCTCGACCTTGCCTTGGGAGCTGTCGTGCCGCACGCGCAAGAACGGTGCGAGGCGGCCGAGCGCGACTGCGAACGGCGGGCGGAAGTCCCAGTCGTGACATGCGGGCGAGCGGTACCCGATGAGATACGCCTGGACGCCAGGGAAGGCCTTGCCCCCAGCGAGGCACAGCGTCCGCTCGCCACCAGCGTTCTCCCTATCCCTATCCCCTCGGCTTTTGGGGCCCTTGCCAAACTCGCCATTCAGACCCCAGGGATCCGCGCCGCCGCCTCGGGTGGCATCGGTGGGGGAGTCTGAGAACGCTTGCGCCCAGATCCATCCTCTCGGGAAGCTCCCGCCCCAGTTCTTTTCGACGTGCGCGCGACCCTCGCCGTACACCTTGCTTGCGCCGAGCCCGCGGCCGTGCTCGACCGCATACGTCGCGCGCGAGCGTGTCGAGCGGACATGCCAGTTGAGCGGGAGGAGCCACGAGAGGTGCATCATGCCGCCCATCGGGCCATCGCGCGGCTGAGAGGGAGAGGGAGACCACGGCGTATGGGCATCGAGGACGAGGTGCACGCGGAGGTGCTTTTCGGGCACGATAATGGAGTATTCGATCGAGTCCGGCGTGACCGCCATGTGTCCGACGCCTGGGGCGGTGATGGTGAAGGGGACGTGCCCACCGCGCTGGGCGGGCTTGCCCGTAACGACGTCTATCTTGTCTGGGAAGAAGTCGTACTTGAACGCGGCGAGCGGGGAGGGCGAGAATGATGAGCGCGAGGTTCCGCTGGGTGAGCGCTGCGGTGACATGGACTCCGCGCTAGGCTCGGCTTTGAGAGTGTGGCTCTTGCGCGAGGATAGGGTATCTGCCGGGGTCGGGGGCCGCTGTAGGTATTGCGTTGGGCCGGCTCCGGATGCTGAGGATGGGGTATACGAGACATGGACGTAGTTGCTGCGTTTTTTCGCGTGTTTGACCCAACAGAAGATGAGGGCGATATTCCCGCCATCCTCGAGCTGTGTACGGGTGTAGTACCCCTCAAACTTGCGGGACTTGTGGGGAGCGAAGTGGTCGCGCTGGAAGAACATGTTGTAAAGAGTGTGGGACGACCGTGACTGGTCCTAGTTACTGCGGCCGCGTCAACGTGAGGGATTTAGAGCGATAGTTTTGGGACTCACGTAGAGTGTGTACAGTAGCACGAAAGAGCGGGACGTAGAGGGGATGGGACGTGGCGCAGGGACTAGCGGTCTATAAGACTCTGCTGCTAGACCTTCCCTGCACTTTGCTCCCGCTTCGATGACGACATCCATGTGTCGTGACTCCGAAACAGCAAACCACCCTGCCCGATCGAGCAGCATTCCGAGTAGTGGTGTATTGACGCGCCCTCCGACTTACGTTCCCCGTCCACGCGCACAGTCAACGCTTCTGCAGACCAGTAGCTGTTCAGTAGCTAATCGCACGCCTTGACGACCAGGGACAAGTCGCGAAGAGTTGACCGTCGAGAGGTAGCATGCAGCGCGACAGCCTTCATGTCGGACACGGTTACCGATATTCGTCGGAGACGCAACGAGCACAAAATAGCGGGATTCACTTCATCTATCCTGGTTGGTAATGATACGAGCAACGCATGAGAATCCAAGGCCCGGAGCCGCACCGTGTCTGTGTGCTCGGATAGTGTAACCCTGCAATCGCGACGCGTTTGGGCTAATCGGCATTGTTGGTCGGCTCCTTGTACCCGGTCCGGCGTAACAGGATGACAGCTGCTAGGTGCTGAGCAACACCCTCCAACTTTCTGCGTCGCAGTAGCTTTCAGGGTTATCGGCTGATACTGAAAGGAATAAGTACTGTCGCTCAAGGAAGACGCGTACAACGTACCAAATTGCTAATCTAAACCAACTCATCTCCGACGCCCTCCGCCATGCCCCGCCAACGGCCCAAGCTCGAGCTCAATCTGCGCCACGAGCCCTCCTTGTCCCTGCCCGTGATCCGGGGACGCAAGCCGGGGTATGTCGTAGCTGGCGAAGTGATCGAACGTGAGTGCGCTCCGGCGCGTGAACTCGTCGACGGTGAGATTCGAGAGCCGCGCCGCGACTTTGCGCAGGTTTAGGAGGACGCGAGCGCAGAGCGTGCTATGCACGATGCGGAGGGGACTGCAGTATCAGGAAGCAGCCAGGGGTCAGCGCAGAAGAGGACAAGAGCAGAGATGCGCATTCACAGTTGCATGACAGAAGATACTGCTTGCTAGATTGTGGAGGCTGTGGGATTAGCGGGAGGATATGGGGAAAGAGATCAAGATACCTACAGGTGCAACGAGCATGAAGCAGAGGTTACTAATGGATGCAGCTAGGAATATGTGTGTTTAGTAACAGTAATCGTCGCGATCAGTCGGGTGACGCACAGAGCATGACGAAGTAGAACAACGTTCCTACGTTCACATTGTAAGTATATAGGAGGTGTAAGCATGCATACCGACTCACCATCACGATACATCGTGTTGACCAGTATTGAACGCGATGTATGTCGGACTGCATCCAAACGACACGCGGTAAGGACATTGTAGGTAGACATATCCAGCCCGAAGGGCTCTTACATGATGTCTGCCATCGCTTGTAGACGGTCAAGACGACGACAACTAAAACGCGTGCATATATGGTCAGAAGATGTCCTCGGGCAGACATGCAATTACTCTCACCTGTCTCGGAGATGAGGATCCCGAAGAAGAAGACCCATCCGGGACGGTTCCCGATGCTCGGAACACAGCCGGTGACCTTGAGAACGTCTTTGCTGGGATCTGTCCACACATTGAAAGGGTCAGCACATGATCGAGCAGGCAATAGTGGCAACCCACACTGTATATGGTCGAGGAACCCGTTTGCAACTATGAGTGATGGCACCTGCGCAAGGGAATGCCTGAGGACACCCATCACATTACACGAAAGAGCAGAGGGCTTACCATCATACCGAGTGAGAGGACGACCATGAGCCCGATGACCTTGCGCTCAAAGTTGTACAGAGCCAGAGTTCGTCCCATCAGTATGACTGTGGAGGTGCTTGTGGTGAGGATCGTATCCGCGAGACATACGATGAGTGGGGACGCACACTCGGAGAAGAAAGCTCCAGCTGCATACACGTCTGTGCGAGAGCGTACGTTGAGCACCTTACCGAGACGACTATCGGGAAGGACTCACAAGAGATGATCTCATACTGTACTGAACAAGACTATACCGGACGGAACAGACGAGCCGTTAGCGAAAGTCAAAGGCGCAAGAGTCACGACAATATGCGCACTTCGGGATCTGTAGTGAGCAGCATAGCTGAGGACCGAGCACGATCGGAGTCAGCTCCATTCAGATAGAACTCAAACAAGTACTCACTTGTGAGCTGCAAAGTCGTATCTATCACAGGAGAGTACCGGTTCACCATGTAGATGAACTTCATAACGCTGAAGCGCGACGGCCATATGTACGTGATCTGCGCGAGAGCAGGTATGAGCGAATGCGACCCTTCCCCACAGGAATTACCGCAGTGATCGCACCTCATCGTCCAGCCCTTGAATAATCTCTGACAACTAGCACGCATTAAATCAGCCATCGCAACAACCGCATACAATGAAGGTTTAGCTCACCAGAAAGGCCATAGACGCCACTGCACGCATATAACGTTCGTTACCTCACAACATAGAGAGTCCATGCCGACAGTAAACATACCTCCCGAGTTCTACGAGGATCAAAGATATACATGAATTCGAGGCAAGTTAGCGGAACTTGTAGCACGTACCTTCACCAGCCGCAGGAGATGCAAGTTGCGGTCCGGATCGTCCAAGACACTCTCCAGCCCCCTGCGATGAGGCATATGCGCAAGCGCGGGCTGAGTCGCTGACTGAGGAGAACGAGGTCCTGAGTTTGTCGTCTATTCGTCACCGGTTACCGAGAAAGCTTCGAATTGCGAAACCCAGAAAGTGTCCCCAGCAAGGTGTG